TTCAGTTTTTTATAACCATTTCTTACTATGTGTCAGTAAGTTGTTGTTATTTTAGCATGTGTGTTTGGCTCAGTGATCTTTTTTTAGGATTACTGATAAACTACTGTAGTTTGATTTGTATCAGTTATCGATTTTAGTTTTAGTTGCTACAGTTGTAGTAATGTTGTCATTTTATTAGTTTTTTATTATGTCTATATAGTTTTTTTTATTAAGTTTTAGTTTTATTTAATTTGACTTATTTCAGTACTTCAACATACAAAATGGAAATGAAATAATATTAGAATGATTTCTGAAGGATCATGTGATATCTGATCTTCTGGACACTACGTTGGATAAGATGCTGCATGTGACAATTACCTGTGCTGTCAGTTATTAATAAAGTTAAAATTTAGTATCTTGACCCATTGTTTAGTGTGATAGTGAAGTGACGTGTGGCCAAGTATGGTGATCCATACTCGGAATTTGTGCTCTGCATTGAACCCATCCAAGTGCACACACACAGCAGTGAACACACACCCAGGCACCCGGGGAGCAGTTGAGGGTCCAGTGCCTTGCTCAAGGGTCTCACCTCAGTCATGGTATTGAGGGTGGAAGAGAGCACTGTACCATTCACTCCCCCCACCAACAATTCCTGCCGGTACTGAGACTCGAACCCACAACCTTCGGGTTACATGTCTGACTCTCTAACTATTAGGCCACGACTGCCCCAAAAGCATCACGCTGGCCCGTGTGAGGCAGACATTTACAGAACAAAATTGTCAACAATGCATCACACCAACAGGCACTGAGCCCATGGTTGTTGTTGACTCCATTTTCAATTCAATCTATCTAGAATTCATTCATTGTGCAAGTAGAACAAAACAGTCCTGCTGATAAAATAGTGTAAATAACCATATTTATGTTCTTGGCACTGTTTTGTAATCCACAGCATGTATTTACACTACTGACAAACCCATTCATTTCTTTATTTTAATCACATGAACACTACGGTTCAAAAGCTTGGGGTTAGTAAAAGTTTTTTTTTTTTTTTTTAAGAAATTAATACTTATTCCGTAAAGATGCATTAAATTGACCAAAACTGACCAGTAACAAGAAATGTTTCCTAAGCAGCAAATCAGCATTTCAGAATGATTTCTGAAGGATCATGTGACACTGAAGACTAAAGAACTATGAAACTATTAATCATTTTAAGAAATGAACAGAATGGAAATGACTCTTTAAAGGGTTAGTTCAACCAAAAATGAAAATTCTGTCATTAATTACTCACCCTCGTGTTGTTCCAAACCCGTAAGACCTTTGTTCATCTTCGGAACACAATTTAAGATATTTTTGATGAAATATGAGGGCTCTCTGACCCTCCCATAGACAGCAAGGTAACTACCACGTTCAAGGTCCAGAAAAGTACCAAGATGATCGACAAAGTAGTCCTTGTGACATCAGAGGTTCAACTGTAAAGTTACGAAGCTACGAGAATACTTTTTTGCGCAAAGAAAATACTGTCGTGAACTCGCGTCCAAAGTGACGCAGTAGAGACGAAAATGTGGAATAAAGTCGTTATTTTTGTTTTCTTTGCGCAAAAAAGTATTCTCGTAGCTTGATAACCTTACAGTTGTGGTAGTTACATGGTAGTTACTTTGCGGTCTATGGGAGGGTCAGAGAGCCCTCATATTTCATCAAAAATATCTTAAAATGACTGGATTCTTTGCACTCGCTTACAGTTACATGGAACAGTGTTTCTTTTTTCCTTGACCTATGTGATTGATTTTGTATATTTGATGCATGCATCTGGCTTCAGTCTGCAGTTTACCTGTGTGACAGGCTATGGTCTGTAGCCTGGTTGGAAGCGGGCAGTTTCTTCAAAGATCAGCTCTTTCAAAGTCTCTTTGGGCAAGTCATCCAGCTCCATATCGAACTTAAATGGAGCCTCTGCAACAGGCTGTGATGAAAAAAAATAAAGCATAGTTAACGTGGGATAAAATGCTTTACCCACAATTCTTTTGCTTATACCTATACTGTACAACATCAGTGTTGGTAGACGAAGTCCTACATTTATCAAGTACAGTGTTTTGTCCAATAGGACAAGTGCTCAACTCCATGCAACAATGTAATTGTAATTTTTGAATGAAACTATGCAGCCATAGACGCAAACAATATAAAATGTGAAAAGGCAAAGAAGGCATCCATAATACAAAAAATGTGCTGATCACACATGACATGTCGGCATTAGAAATCTTACATTTCAACTGCTAAAACAACCAATTGCATTTTACCAGACACTCGATAGATGGTCAAAGGTTATTGTGGCCATGTGGCTATTAAAGTGCACTTCATAGTGCTCATGTTTGAAACACTCTCCACCTTTGATCCCCATAAACTCTAAGATATGCAAGAGCGGATAATATGATGAAGCTAGTGTTCTTGAAAGCAGAGGACAGCAGAATATAAGAATCTATATTTATCTTTTACTTTATTTAAATATCATTGTTATTAAGCATGTAAATGTTAGATTATTATTATTATTATTGTTGTTGTTTGTATTGTTGCTCTTATTGTATCTTTGTATTATAATAATGATAATTACTATTATTATTTAGCATGTGAATGGAAGATTACTATTATTATTAACAGGCTTGGGAGGGTTACTTTAAAAAGTTACATTTACAAATTACTTAATGAAAAAAGTATTCAGTAATGCACCACAATATGAAAGTAATGTAATCTGATTACTTTTGGATTCCTTCAAGTTCAAATTAGGGCTGGTAATTTAACGCGTTAATTAGATTAATTCATTACGGTGAAAAATAACGCGTTAAAATTATTAACACATTTAACGCACTTGCCCCGCCCCAGACCTATGTGGGTCATCTGACATTTCATACAGCTGATTTATGACAAATATGAGGCATGGCAACAATTCGCTGCGTGATGGAGCCTAGAGAACGTAGTTAGAATGTCCCTAGAATTCAAGATATGGGGCAAAAATGCTGCTGTTTGAGTTTTTGTCTCATGTTTACATCATATAGTTAAGCAATATCACACGAGCAATAAGTGCAATATCACACGAGTGCAAATGTGATACTGATCTTATACAACAGTTCAGTATATAAGAAGTTAATATTGTGTAATTTTTTAGACACAATGTTGTCTGTTTTGCTCAATGTTGCCAATGAAAATATAAAGACAAAGCAGAACTGTTCGTCTCCGAGCAACACACAGCGGCATTTCATTTCTTAATGCACGTTTTCAACGAATTAGGTGAACCATTTGGAGTGTTGAACAATAGGCGCGTTGGATTTGAAGTGGCCCTGCACAGACCGATCCGTGTATGACATCAAAGTACCGCGAGAGCGATTCAAAAGCATAAGGAGCCGTCTGCTCTCTATAGCTCTTGCGGTACTTTGATGTCACACACCGATTGGTCTGATGGCGATTCAAGTCGAACAAGCCTAATGATTCAATGGACCATTCATAAAGAACCATTTACTTCACTCCTGAACGAATCAGCCATTTGAACGAATCAAGTGAATGAATAAATGACTCGATGACTTAATCAGTAAGACATTTACCACCACCTACTGGCAGTTTTAGTTTATTATTTAGAGTATAATTTCATTAAAGGGGTCATATGATGCTTTTTTTAAAGATCATTGTGTATTTGGTGTAACAGAATATGTTGACATGCTTTAATGTTCAAAAAACACATTTTTCAAAT